GAATTTCGAGTTTCTTCTTCGTATTTGTATTTGTAATGGTTTCTATTAATGTCTGTTCAAAAATACGAGGAGAAAATCATGATTACTATTCAATTGCGATCGGTGATTATTTTAAATGAAGGCATCTGAATTCATGAGTGGAGTCAAACTTCTACGTTCATCCATTTTTTGATATGCATATTAATAGTCATTGATATTGAATTTGTTTTGTCAATGTTTATTCGTCTATGACTGGTATATTCGAAATACGCTTTGCAGCATAATGCGGTGGATGAATAAATATCCATCGGTTACTCAATATTTATAATACCCATTTGTATACTTATTGGTTTTTAAGGACATTTCATTATTTATACTCTTTCTAGTTTGTTTACACGATTTCAAGATTGAACCAATCTACACTAGAGCATTCGAACCGAATGGAAAGTAAATATAGAATAGCCTCAAAGTTTTCAGAATACCAGGATTTATAGCGTTCACAAATGTTAGCGTATTTCAAATGTGACAACATGCCAAAAATACAGTTTTATACGCATATGCTGAACAGAATGAGACTTATCATGTGGACATTATTTTTTCTTCCTCGAAAGTAGTGCCAAGTATAAAATATAATTACCTATTCAGATTCGGATATCGAAATACGACATATCCATCATTACTTCACCTGAAGCAAGAATACACTATTTACGCTGCTACTAGGTACTGGTTTCAAATCCAAAGGAATCACACTAGATGTACGTGCTAGCTATTCAATCATCATTTCCAATCCAATACTCTCCGATGATATGGAGTAGCGCAATCTTATGACAACCACATCAGTTATCGTTCTGCTATAAGATTATTATGTTATGTTAAATTAGAAGTGAAATAGTCTGTCGAGACTCTCCACTAAGATTGGTGTCTCAAGGTGATTCTTCAGTTCCCCAGAAAAAGGATAACCTTGTCGAAAATAGAAAGTCTGATTCACGTCGCGCAGAAGTGATGTCTTGAATGACATAAGATACTTTTTCTGTCGTTTCATTTGGTATTAACCTCAGGATATTTTCATTTATGATAATCCAAAAGTTCCGCGTAGTTTTGCCTTTAGGGCATTCCAGCAAAATATTGACTTCGACATAGACCTCTTGAGCTTCACAGTAGCGCCGACTGTGAGACAGCAAATATTATATTATCTCATTAGGTTGTGACCATTATTCACCAACACTATACTACAGGCGAATTTCAAACCAACTTACTCACTTATTATCACTCGTAGATCATCACCCTGATTAATCATTATTCGAAGCTCAATTTAATTTTATTTTAATTATCTCGGTCTTGTCACTCATGCAAATTCATGCTCTACAACTGCAAAATGGAATGAACTAATACGTTCAGGTTGAGATATGTTATCTGATGGTGGCGTATAATATGATGGATGTTTAGAAAACATGACAGCTGGTATCCCACCCACATGTAGTAATAATTTAGTAGAGGTGAAAAACTAAGTTATATATAGATGTAGGTATTCTAATGATGTTCAGTGCACGGATGCGACATCAAACGAAACTAAAAAAAATATGTTATCATGGTTCAATGTATTTATAGTGTCATAATATGGGCAAGGAACAACTCGAAAGAATATGTCATATTATTATACAGTTTGAAAGTATTTCGGTTTTTCGAATGCATTCTTTCTCGCCTACGTATATTGAAAGGATTATACTAGAAATTCGAATTTGAGACGAATGCTATTCATACTCGTTGTGAAAGGAAGCCGGTATTATCAGGAAGTTAATGAAAATCCAAAGTTATTCAGTATTTTGACAGTTCAGTTGCTTCGCCAAATTGTTTGACAAATTGCTTTATTTAGATGAGAATCAATTATATTGTCACCAAACAACTAGTACTCACTACTTAGTGTTTCGTAGAACAAGATTTTACCAATAAGTCTAAGAAAATTTCGCCTCATTAATGATAACTCTCCATTCATTGTATAGATCTTCGAATAAAAAAGGTCATTTGACATTGGTAAAATGTCATGAATATACCCAGAACTTCCCGAAATTCATGATTTAATATTGGCAGGAGAAATATACAAAAGTTACATATATCGTCCACATTTCGAAAACGAGAATAATTTCATCGATCATCTCAGCAATAATTCTAGATGATTCTTGATTATTTATCATATTTGTTGCATAACGCGAATATCGTCCCCCAAGAGGACTACGAAGAAAATAAATGTTCATTTAACCAATGCGAGTTCATTGTTTTCATGGTGATAATATTATTTCGCAATCCTGGGACACGGTGGAATGACAAACCAAGCAGTAATTCATATCGAGGTAGAAGTATTTTGTAGTGCGTCTCCTTCGAAATCTGCGACTGCCGACTGCTGTTGAATAAATCAAAAGTTGGCCGACGGCCAATGATGAACTCCTACAAAGATGTCATTTGTTTCACACGATTCCGAAAGCAATCATTGCCCACTTGTGATTTGGCGAAGAGAGAGCCTTAGATCTTGTGAGCACGTGTGTGTCAACGGCAAAACAACACTCGACAGTATGTTAGAATTCGTAGAGATGAAGGTCCTGAAGATAAACGCAAGCTTGCAGTAAAATAAGTGATTAATCCAATAACTCAACACATTTGAATTCTGTAAAGAACTCGCATATCACTTGAAACTGTTCGATAAGATGATTGATAATTTCAATAGTGAATATACGCACGAAGTTATTACTTCAACGACACAAATGTGTTCTGCAACTTCACATACAATATACAAACATCTCGCGAAAGTTACACACAGCCAGAAGATGAGATCAATGAGATATCATTTTGTAGCATCTGATTCCACCCAACAATAATCAGTGAGTTCCAAAACCTTGCGAACACGAAATCATTAGGACAGCCTTCAGGTTCACTCAAAGAAATTTACCAGGATATACAACAGGAATTCGGCCATTTCCACAGGAAATTCCCCCTATATAAGCGACAGCAGGAATATTTGTTAATTGTACGTGACAATTCCGGTCTATCAATTCCTTCAGAAATAACAAGTTTTAGATCCGTTAGTGCAACCAAACTGCAGTTTGTTATTTCAACAGGAAAATAATAATGTAACGAGAACCGGAATTTGCATTGTTATTCACAGAATCGCTACATTGATTCAACTGGAACTTTCCAGTTATTCTGAAGAACTACCTCAGTTTTACCGGAGCTGTAATTTCGATTTAACAGGAATTTCCTGTTTAATAATCAAACTAGATAGTTGTATTCGGAGCTTCAAACTTAAATTTTTACAAGAATTTCCAGTAATCAACACTAAAATTAAACAGGAATTACTTCACTTATACCGGAACTTTAGTTTCGATTTAACAGGAATTTTCTGTTCAATTAAAGGACTTTCATTCACACATCACAGTATTAATTAGTTGTATTTGGAGTTTATTACCTGAGATTCCACAGGAATTTCCTGTAGTTACCTAGTATTCAACTGGAATTTCTTGTATTTCCTATTCAATTATCTGCATAGTTTTGACAGTAATTTCCATCTGAAGTTGACATTTTTTTCCATGGAATTTTACTGGAAGTTTCCTGTTAGTACTACCGTGGAGTATTGTTGTAATTTAGGGTACTTCCTGTCAGTATTCAAGTGCTATTTCGTACTGTCTGTAGGTTAATCGAGGAGGTGGTACATTCATTATTCCAGATTTTTCCAGGATTTCCTCTCCTCGTTTCTTTAAAATAAAAATATGAATATCATTCCAATATACGTGCAGTAAGGACAAATCAGATGATTTGCCCCAAAATGTCACTGCGTTTGAAGAATTTTCCAATCAGAGAGCCTAAAAGAAAAATTCACTAGCTTGTCAGTGACCATTTGTATCGAAAATAAAATTGAGATGAGAAATAAAGGTATAAAAAAAATTCAAATTTTCACTTAGTTTTGGACGTTTCGGGAACGAATCTGCTACCGTTTTCAACATAAAAAATGGATAATATTTGTGTAAAAAATTCGTATTTGTCTTGACACTTCTCAGTGACAATTGGTGACGTTGGCAATCGAATGATAGTTACAGGATGTTTTCATTAAACAATCTTGAATTCTCCATTTTCATTTTCAGATTTCAGTAGTGAATACCATGTTTTACTTATATCAACTGAGTGGAATAATATCAAAATCATTAGGAAAGAAGATAACCGTAAGAGAAGAATCAAGGAATCCGCTTGCATTCTTCTGAACAGAGTCAATAGCATTGCTTCCTTTTCAGTTGATATAGATAGAACATGGTATTCACTACTCAAATCTGAAAATGAAAGTGGTGAATTCAATTTTTCAATACAAATTGTCAGTGACGAGCTAGTGAATTTCTTCTTTTAGGCTCTCTCATAGGAAAATTCTTCAAACGCAGTGATATTTTGGGGCAGATCATCTGATTTGTCCTTACTACTCATATATTGGAATAATATTCATATTCCTATTTCATAGAAACGAGGGGAGAAAATCCCAAAAAAATCTGGAATAACGAATGCAATTTTGTTATTTTTGTAACGCATTTCTGTCTGTTACTTCGCGAATATTTGTCATAAAAACCCAATTTGAGTGTATGAAAATCACTGGTGTGGAATTTTCCATATAATATATATTATAGAATATCTCAACATTATTCGAACGAATTAGATACATTCATTGAGAAACTAAATAATGAATATGAAAAAAAAAATTCCCTGATCTGAATACATGTTAGCGAATTTCATTACGGAATTACTGTCTAGTAATACACTTACAGTCTAACAGTCTCACAGTCTGTTCTAGGGAAAGTCAGCCACTAATTGAATTTATTCTCCAAATAACACCGAACTTTATAATTCATATATATACCTACAGCTGTGAAAAGGGCACTTTATATACGGTTCGCTATTCTTTTTTTTTATCTCTTGGAGCTAACAATATTTTTAGTGGCCAATTACCTCTAGGGGTGCTCGTTGACAGACAGTATATTTTTGCAATCCCAAATCAGCAAATGAATACAAACAAAGGAATAACCCAGGTAGACAATTACAATAGAATATTATATGTAATATTTCCATAGTTCAATACACATTGAACAGAGTAATCACTCCTAATATAGGTTGGGTATAAAAATATAATATTCAAGATGTCCCAAGATAAAATTTGTTTATTGAAAAAACATTGAATAATTTGTTCAGAATGAATGTGATGAACGAAAAACATAAAATAATGATTTATTTTAATCACGACATTTGTGGCCAGAAGTCTCTCCCCCGATATTCTTTTCGTAGGGTTACCTTGCAGTTCTCTTCTTATAATAAGCTTGCACAAAGTGGATCGCTCCTTTGAGGAGAGACAGCCCCTAGTCTTTTCCTCGGCCAGTAATGCTTTACCATCATTTGCTTCGTTCAATAATTTGAGGAGAGCCTATATAAAAAAAAAAGGTTGATAGTCCAATTTTATTGGTGTGAGCTTGTGGCGTTCTTCTACGACTGTGCTTTTTTGCCTACTTTGCCGCACGCATTTTGGTTTGGGAAGTCTTTCCCGCACTAGTGCGCGTAAGAGTGCGGGAAAGTTCCTAAAATTCTGCCTATATAATTTGAGCTCATTTTGCATTATTTCGATTGTATTTCATGAACTATCTCTTATGTGAATGCTGAATATCATATTCATAGATATAAAGTGAAAATTCATGAAGCGGTATTTTGGTCAAATTCGATCATCAACAACTCAACTATTTTCCATCCATATATGCGACTCATATATATTTTTGAATTTAGAAAAAAGGCTCTATCGATATCTCAGAAGATATATAGGGTGTTTCATTGAAAAAATCAAAATTAATGTCCTTTCCGGAAAAACGAATGATTCTGTATATGGAACAATAACAACACAAAATGGGAGTTTGAGTCGTTTCAAACAACTTTTTATTCGAAATTTTTTCACATATCTGAAAACAAATGGAAAGTTTTTTCCCGCACTCGGCTGATTGCCACTTTTTATACTTGCAGGGAAATTAATATTTTCAATTAACAATAATTATCATGGACCCACTTACATTTCTCGTGTCATGATGAGAAGAGTCGTGGTGCATGAGTTCCGAGGTGCATTCATCAGTGTTTTCCATACTTTTGGATGGTTCCATGTTCGGTGATGGTAAATATGTAGGAGCACTATGCATTGACGCCTCGATTGACGCCTTCCATTTCGCCCAGTGAGACAGGAACTGAGCTCTGTGCCCTATAGAGGAAATAAGCTCTTTCACCACATCATCTTTAATGCGGCACTTGAGGACGGCTTAATTATTTTTTTTAAGTTACGCAGTAATTCACAATCACAACCACAGCACTCGCACAGAAAAATGGCGTATTCCACATATTATCCGTATCCAAGAACCAACAATGACCGCGTTGGCGCGTACTTCTCAGAGTAGCGGATTGAATTGTGGGATTCACAGGAATTCTGTTGGAATCAGCGTATTGAGCTGTTAGAACGGTGGCGTGGATCGTAGAGATGACAGGAATATATTATATGGATTGAAATACTGTAAGCCTAACAATATTTATTCCTGTAGAATCATCTGAATTTCTGTAAGAAATACCATTCATTCCTGTTGAATTTGATGTGTCCATACTGTGATATTTACAAAATCATTATATTTCACTAGATATTCCTGTAACATTCACGGAATTTTATCCCGGTTAGAATTATGGTTCCGACCTAAGTATGTTTTACAGTCGTGACTCGTAAATATAGGTAAATATCATTTTATATACACAGGAAATATTCCTTATAAATCAAAAGTACCTTATGACTGCTATACTTACCGGTTTTCCTGTTCATACGACCCAAGTCACTTTAACCGGAATCGGCATGTTTTATTGCAAGTACAGATTGTTCTCAGAACGGTTTTTTTTTGTTATTATAACAATAGTTTCGTTCAGACAACAGGAATTCATTCAACCGGAAATTCCTGGGATTCGTTTTTTCCAGTGTTCCATCGCTCAGCTTGCTAGAATAACGGTAATGAAAATGGAAGACTACCTTGACATGAAACAAGTTTTTCTAACGGTTATGAGTTTTTAAAAATCTCAGAATATCGTTATTCCATGAGGTGAAGTGTGGTAGTATCTAAGCGACCTACTCCATCTGAATGCGATTATATGATGATACATTGAAGTATTCAAAGTCTAGCGAAGAACCGGAGTAGCTTTACACAGTTGAAAAAGTAGTAGTTATCATCCATATGCTCTCTCAGAACAAACGGAATGGTGTTTTATGCAGAAATATATAATATTCTGGCTCTGGCAAACGTAAAACTCTAAAGGGCCTATCAAGGTGGACACATGATCCGAGAGAAGTCAGTAACGCCAGCATTGAGGTCGAAGATAATAGAGAATCTATTTGGAACTGATGAAACAGTGCTATGACGCTATAGAAGAACTTGAGCTGGAAAATCTCGGCAGCTCCTCTTGGGATCCGATACAATCAGGTGTATCCAGGATCGAATTGAATTGGTTCAAACTGGTATATATAATGACCATTGAAACAGAGTTTTCAAGAGTTTTTTACTGAACGGTGATTCATAGATGAAATCCCGAAGTCTTATCCTTAACTTTTAATGGAAGTGGATGAATATCATGTTTTGGACATATATAAGCCGAATTTATTGAAATGAAAAATGTTGAAATCAAATGATGTAGACAGTAGCAGGCCAAATCAAGACGTATGCGCCATGATTGTCTATATATAAATTGAGTGAATTTTATATAATTAATCACATTAAGACACCTCTTCCACATAGACAATTTTTTTCATTTCGATAACTATATTCTTATATTCGGCTGATGATGGGCTTATATGAGCCCCAAACATGTTAGCTTTGAGTGATATCTGATCACTCTCAATTAAAGTTGTGGAGATGATCTTAATTTTTGATCTATTGATTGAACAACTCCACTTCGGTTACAATAGACTTTTTCCAAAGAAAACAAGAATGGGGATTACTAAAATAAATGAAACGCTTGAAAGACGAGGCAACCCGGTGGTCGAGAGCACTACGAAGCTGGGTTCGTAAAGGGCTTTACACAGGGGCATGAGTTTGAGTCCAGGCCACGGATGATTGTAAATCAGTGCTTTCATGATCTCACACGAGTTTCGACTCATGAAGCATTGGTTTCAGTGCTGAGACCAACGATAAAGTGAAATTGTAAATCAAAATATCAGGACTCATCTGATGGATTCGACATGAGACAGGCAATTATTTGTACTTGGAACATGACAAAGTTTCTGAACTATTATAACTAAGCTACTCAACAGGTACAAAATACTCAACAATCACCGACATTTCTTCGAATTTTTAAATGTTTTTTCGTGTTTAGCTGTTGTTCGCCAAAAAGACACAGTTTGAGAACCATATTGACCCCAAAGGATCCATCCAGCGAAAGGCTGGTTGTACGTTAGTTGAGTGAATGGGCAAAGAACGATGAAAGGTGTCATTTTGCTGATAAATGTCAAATATCGGTGGATTTGAATGCATGTGTCGCGAACGCGAGTCCGAGTATTAGGGAGGGAACTCAGCTGAATAGTTGATAACCAAACCGAACCGTGTTTGCCATGAGGAGGACTTAACATTGTTGTTATGTATATTGCGAATAACTGACCATAACAGTTATATTTACTATCCAAATATAAATTTCAACCCTGCCGGATGAAGGGTTATTAAGATGTTGTATGAGATATTCATTTTGATCTGATGTTGACATATGCAAGATGAAAGCAATGATATACTACAATATAAATCTACAAATATTAACTAAGAAATTTCTTCCCCTGCACAATAAATTGGCGTGAATGCCAGATGTTCGATAATGGGCTTACTCTGAAAGACCAATCAAATGAGTGGAATCAATCCGTTAAGTAATACAACTATAATGAAGGTACTGGTCAAATCATTATTTTATATTCGCTTGTCGACGGAATTATAAATTTCAATGTATTTTTTATCATCAAAATGATGAACTACACGATAAACAATCTTCTCAAATGTTATGAATGATAATGAAGGTTGTTAATAATACGAACAACTTCTTTTCTCTTGGCGCGCACGAAAGAGAATCCAAATAATATTCGAGGAACATTGTTCGTACCTAGGAAGCATATGAAGAGAAAGTTGGTCTTCGAATCCTCTTGCAATTTTGGAGGTTATAAGTTCTTCGAAATACCTCCTTTGACAAAAATATTCAAAGCTTTGCCGTTCTATAGACCAACAAGTTTTGGGAAAGACTCGGGAAAAGAGTTGTTTTACATGTTCCCAAGTTGACGGCGAGACCATCTGCTGACAATGCGAACTTTGTTCAAATCAGTTCCATGAATGGATATTATTCATTATACAGTAAAATTATGTTGCTCGTGTGCTCACATTCCGAAATATATTCAACAAGCTGTCCGGCCCTGCTTCGCACGGTTGGTGTATGCCCATTCAAACGAATATGTTGCAATCGTCCTGAGCTATGGGCGCATCCACAGCGAAGCACTGGAACACATTGCCAAGGGAGGTGTTTCCCAAGGCATATAACCTCCAGAAATTTGAGAAGAACACAAAGTCCTACTTCAATTCCCTTGGTTCTCACGATTTTCTCTAAACATTGCAGGATATCCCTTCTCGTGGGAACCAGAACATGAAAAAAAACATATTTTTCGTTGTTTTTTTCGAGAGTGAAGTGAAAAAGATAAGTACGGAAGGATGATTCTTACTACCCGTTATCTTATTACCCGTTTTCCATTGGGAATGCAGCATTCTCTTGCAATAAAAAATAGCCTTTGTTTTTCAGAGTTAACGTCGGCTTCAAACGGTGAAAGAATTATTCAAGTCGATCCAGTAGTTTCGGAGCATATATTCAATACAAAAATACGAACAAACAAATCTTTCTCCTTTATAAAATCAGTATAGATATAACAATGGAAAATGTGATCACTTGTTCTAACTTCCCAAATACTTCTGAGAATCATAGGGTTCGAAAACTGAATACAACAATAATTATTCAACAATTAGCCTTGACATAATTTGAATCAAAGGGTTGTAAATTTGTGATAATCGTCCAAGGTTGAACCTATGTAAATATCTACAAGTGAGGGTCAATTTGCTAGAGTTAATTTATGACTATTTGTTCCAGTTTCGGTTTCGTCCCTGAATGATTGACAACAAGATGTTACTTGAAATAAATGATGAATTATAAATCCTCAAGTAGAAGAGCTACAGTACGTTGAATTGTATTAGAGAGATATAGTTTTTTTCACAATAGGTACCTCTATTAGTAAGTATTCATGTGTTCAATTCCTAATTTGGAACGAATCTCGATATTCTGAATATTGGCACCTTTGGTAATCAATCACCAAAGATACAAACAAGTAAATGTGAAAATGTCCAAGAGCAAAAGAAATTATTCAAGTAAAAAATGTATGTAGTAAAATTTGTCATGTGACCTATTTACTAACTTCCCTGTTTCAGTTCGTGATTATAGTAATATCTAATAAGAAAGGCGGAACTCAGTATGCCTGATATTGTAATGTCTGGCTCCACCATCCCCACCAAGCCCACCATATCTATGCTCGGTATTTCCATCAGCAACACTCTTTCATGGGATAATCATGTCAGATCCATCGCAAAACCTGCTACACAAAAACTCGGATTCTTGTTCCGTGCGAAAAGCTACTTTACACCTTAACAGCTTCTTATGATCTACAAAGCGCAGATACGGCCTGTTCTAGAATACTGTTTCCACATGTGGGGTTCAGCACCAAAACATACGCTGATGCACTTAGATTCCATCCAGAGAAGAGCCTTTCGCCTCGTGGGTGACGCCACACTCACTCACTCTTTGACATCATTGGAACACCGTAGAAAGGTCGGCGACCTTTCACTTTTCTATCGATACTTCCACGGGAAATGTTCTTCGGAAATCTCTGCTATCATCCCTTCACTAGCAATACCAATCAGACGAACTGGACAATCCAGTCAGCACATCCTTTCGTTGTCAACCTCGAAAGATGTCGAACAGCACTTTATCAAGACTCCTTCTTCCATAGAACGGCTAGGCTCTGGAATTCATTGCCTGTGGAAGTATTCCCAACAACATATACCTACCTCCTGTCCCTATCCTCCCTAGGAACGCACGATGTTCTTTGAACATTATAGGGATTCCCTTTCGTGGGCTCCAAGCGATAAAAAAAAAAAAAAAAAAAAAAAAAAAAAAAAAAAAAAAAAAAAAGGACAAAATTATTGTTGAAATTGGAGGAATATCTGATACAATATCGTGGAAAAACTGATACAGTTTCACGCCCTGGTCAATTGAGAGGTACCTATATGACCTTCACTACCTCCAAAGAATGCCAGAGTCATTTATCCGTTCATATCTATGCAACAACAAAAACCCAATGACCCAACAATTACATAAATCCGTTAATCTATGGCCATAAATAACAAACCTCCTACGCGACAAAAAGAGGCAGAGATTACCTCTTGTGTGTCTTGTGTTAACCCTTCGTCGGCAAAACTGCACTCTCTAGGTATATCAGCGGAGGCTGTGTCTGTTCCGAAAGCGACGTCTTCGCTGGATAATTTATTGAATCCATTTTGAATTTATACATCTGACACAGCTCACGTCGTTATTCATAGTTAACAGGTGAAGTCTGTAGATTTGGGTCACAAGGCAAGTTGCAACGAAAACATAGAATTGGACGTTTCGATGAATAAGGCTCACTCGTTACAATACATTCTTTAGCAATATAATATTATGAGAATAAAAAATAGAAATTTGTTCGACGAAAACGTTCATCCGAAT